ATTTGAGGTAGTTGTTTTCCATACAAAAGTGCATATAGGTTCTTTTAAAAACGCCAAGTACAGTAGTCCTTTGCTACTTCGCAGTTCGTTTTTGCACATTTTTTCAAAATAAAATTGAGCATGACACACAATTGGCTGATTCATGGATGAGCTGCATGATCAGCATGGAATTTGTATTTAAAATAAAATATTTTTAATTGTTAAGCACCTGCTGCATCTTCGTGCAGCCCACACTGCAGGAGAAACGTCTTCCTGCAGCTCCTCCTCCTTCCTACTCTGTGATCTCCATTCTGCAGCGGAGAAGTGGGCGTGGCCGAGAGGACTGAGTGCAGCCGTGACAAACAGGAGGCAGAAAGCTGAGATCATGATATGCTGTGCCCTTTTAGAGCGTTTAGAAACATTGTTTAGAATATTGCAAGAGTGTGGGAAGGGTTTAAAACTCCTTAAATAAACTGCTACTTACTACTTGTACTACTATTCCTAATTTGCGGTTTTTCACTTATCGCTGGGCTTCAGGGTATGGATCCCCGTGATAAATGAGGGACTACTGTATTATAAAGCTTTTTCTACTTTCATTTTATTCATTCTTCACGTATTAAATAAACGTGTGACATTGTTTTTCCAGTCATCATCAAACAGCAGTTGTAAAGCAATTAGCCTTATTGCAAACGAGATCAAAACGAGCAAATTAACAATGTGGTGGGTCGCAGCAGGTGAAATTGATACTGACGTTTGTTGTTGTTGCTCTCTGGTAAACAAAAGCCCTTTGACAGCTGAGAAAAACATTTTCTTTATTTATTTGTTATCAAACAAGGCTGACTTCAAATCAGAAGTGTGCTCTCATTAATAATTCTTGGCGATATGAGACGCTGGGTCGTTTTCATTCTCCACCTCCAAAACAAATTAAGCCGGTCATCAGGAGAGAGCAAAAAGAAAAAAGAAATAGAAACATTAAGCCATTTATTCTCAGTGGTGACAGTGATAGACAGCCGTAATTGAGCAGGTCATCTTGTTCCATTAAGAGAGTGATGGACCCCCATTTCACTGCCTTCGGGGTTAGCCACCCCATCCCTGATGAGAATTTCCCAGTAATAAACTATTTTAATTAGTATTTAATTGGTATAAATATCAAACTATATGAAGAGTATAATGTGGAAAAGGAGCCTAATGGAAAAAGTTGTAGGCTTGTCTTATGCTGTTGATGACTCTTTAATTGTTATTGATGTGCTGGATAATTAAAAAGCCTTCATGGTTGGCTGTAGACAGAAATATCGCAGGTGCTGGAATACCTTTGTAAGGGTCTCACATTTTGGTTTCTTTACATCATGTTTTCTCATTTAACATTGGATCTTTACAGAAACTTTAATTTCATTTTTTTTTCTAGATTGCAGCCTTCTTAGATGAGTATAGGTGATGAAATGTTTCAAATTTCTGCACCTTGTCTTCATAGCTGTAATAAATGTTAGCTCACAATACATAAGGGCTAACCCATTAGAAGGCTTCAAACCTAACGGCACATTTTTTCCCCACAACATGTATTTTTACTGCTGTGCACACGCGTGAACTGAAAGTTATAATGCTCGAGCACATGTGAATGCACAAAAACACTATGCATTATGACAAGTTGTATGAAATTAGACTTTCAACCGAACAATAGCTCCCGGCAGATTACAACTACCTCAAGGAAAGGTAAAAAGACAGAACATATGTGGGCTGACAGCTGCACCGAGTGCAAAGTGACGCTGTCGTACCACGAGTGCTCTTGACAGATAAAAAACATAATCTCCTTAGGTGCTATTTATGAAAAATGTAGAAGAGAGGCACATGCGCTAAGTTCCAAGAATAAACAGTGCCGAGATGATGTGAGCTCAGACGAGGAGAACTCGCAGCTCTGCACTTCCTTTCAACTTGCATTAATATGGAACACGTCGCTATCGAAATAATAAACATTCCCTGAAGAGATTTAGTGTTTTCCTGCCTTTATTCTCATCTTTCAGACAAAACCTGACAAAAGCTCAGGAATGTTAAACTCCTCATCTCCTCAGGTTGCTCCTTTTCTATCTGCATTCTATTTATTCCCTCTTTCAATTCCTACTAGGATTTATCTGTTAACTTCTAAGAGCACTGTTAGGTACAGAAATTTAACATTTATTTATGTGTTTGTTGTTATTTATACATGGTTTTAATTTGTCTCTACTTTTGATGATCATATATTTATATGATCTGAGTAATATAATAATAAAGTTGCTGTATTCTTCATGCAAAGGTAAAACGTTAAACTTGGAAGGCAGAAAGTTAAGAATAAATCTGAATGACTCGGTGACTAATTAGTCCAAGTGTCATTGCCTTGAATATGCCTCTATTAATCTGCCCTCTTTTTGCTTCCCCTTGTTATTTTTAATGCATTTCATTTCTCTTGTTTCCTCGCAGGTGCCAGGCTATCGCCAGGAGCAAGTGGAAAAAGGGCTGAAGCTCTTCGGTCAGCTCATTAACAACAAAACCTTCCTGCTGTGTTTTATTCGCACTCTGGAGGCCCAGCGTGGTTTCTCCATGAGGGACCGCGGCAATGTGGCCTCACTCATCATGACCGTGCTGCAGAGCAAGTTGGAGTATGCCACTGATGTCCTGAAGCACCTGCTGTCCGACCTTATAGAGCGCAACCTTGAGAGCAAAAACCATCCCAAACTGCTGCTTCGCAGGTAATTATCAGGCTCAAAGAGTTTACCTTTACTAGCTGCACTCCCCAACAGGTGGCCTATTTCACACAGCTGACAGTGGTCATCTTTGAAGTTGTGTGTCCTTTAAACCTAGTTGTATACTTCTGTTAGTGTAGGATTCAAGACGAACGGTTTACACTCGGCTTTCAACAATCAAGTCCTGCATATGCTTCTCAGTGTTCCCTCTCTGTGACATGTTTGGATTAACTCCTGTGACCTTGAATCACTGGCTCTGTGTCAGAAACACCAGAGTGCAATGCTGTGCACATCATTAGCAAAATAATTATAATTAATTAGCAGTGAATCTAATTTTGAATTACTCGAGAGGAAAGAAATACTCATGTATGGAGAAAGGGAGAAGAAAGGCTGGCTTGCTGGCACAATCACAATCCTCCCTCAGATTTGTAGCCGAAGCCTGAATGGCGTGCACTTGAACACAGCACTGTATGTGATTAAGCGTCCTGCCTGTGGTGTTGGGCAAATGTGATGATTATGGTTACTTGAGTAAAGCAGCTTCTTTAAAGCTGGTGGGTATGTGTGCATGCACATAAACACATTTGTACACATGGTATCATGTTTTATCTATTTAAGGGTTGTCAGTCATCGACACCCCAAAACGGTTTGACAGGCGTGTGATACATTAAGTTGTCCATCTCCTTTCTGTTCAAATTCTAATTCTCCTTTTTGGCTAAAAACAGCGTTATGCTGTGCCAATGAAGACAAAAGCAAAAATAACACAAAAATAAGCAGACAGAGCCAAAATGAATGCTGCCTGTTGTACTGTGCAGAAGAACGTGAGCATTTTCTTCTCATGAAAACCTGTTTAGACTCTGCTAGGTGATGAAGAGCGAGATTATTGCTGTCTGGGCATGAAGCATGATTAATTGTAGTCGGATCTCACAGAGAATGGCGCAGCCACTAAATAAAGGGGTAACTAACTGCTGATCCTGGCAGGAGATACGACAAAAGAGCGCTGGTGAAGGACAATGAAGGCATTTTAGGCTGTTAGTGAGAAAATCTTACTAATGGGGCATGGTGGCAAGTTGTGAAATCAGCTTTTTGATTACTTTGTTTTTGACTCACAAAAGCCTCATGTGCTGTTCCTGCAGATCTTTTCATTTTTTTTCTCATGTCAAGATTTGATGTAAATTAGGACTAGAGTCCAAATGCAAAGAGCACTCGTCCTCCTTGATGACAGCAGAGAAAGAAGAGAAACCTGGGGAAAATGCCAGTACGTGCTGGCAGCCCAGAAGGGAAAGCACATGTTCACATCCCATCCACACCCAGGCTGATTTCCCAATTGTCATACATATGATTGTGATGGCCACTGATCAGATCGTATTCATCACGTGTGCTTGTTAGTCCTTCATCAGCTCAGCATGCGTTTCAGATCTGACACGGCGAGCTATACTGACTGCCGTGTCTTTGGTTAGCAGATGAAAATAGCCGAGAGTCATAAGCAGAAGAGATTAAGTTAGGAGGAAGCATCCGCTCAATCTTTATTCTCTGTATAATTTCTGTGTTTGCACATTCTTAGTGTTTCCCCTCCAGAGTATCTGCCTCTGTCTGCTCACTCCCTATTCTCTCCTGTTTCCTTACTGCTAAGTTTCAAATTGTGTAACACTGTCAGTCTTTATTTCTCTCTTTCTGTTCTATACCCACTTTCTCAGTCTATATTCCCGACTCTTCCTTCCCTCCTTTATTTTCTTGATTGCTAAATCAATGTTTAAAGTGTGTGAGCAGGGTGTCTCTGGCACAGCATCTGAGCACGGCTACCCACTATCTCCTTTTCCAAGAAATCTGTGTGTGTGTGTGTGTGTATCTTCCTCTTTTCTCTCCACACCAACACACATCCTTCCATCTGTCCCATCTCAACCTGTGCTGAAGCACAACCACCAGGCAAGCAAACTAACGAGAGCTTTCTACAACCATCTGTCGCATTCCTTGCTGCATTCAACTCCTTTAACTTCCCTCTACGCTTCATTCCTCCATTTCTTGCTCGCCTCCTCACATCATCCCCCCCCTACCATCATGCAGAGCTAAACAGCCTGCCTTTAGCCTTAAGTTTTGTTTGGCTGCATTTTAAGTATCAAAATATTAGTTTTAATTCTGGTCAGAAAATTAGAACCCAATATGTTCATGTGTTTATCAGCGTGGTGGCACTGTCAGCGCAGGTGGAAAGGCCCTGTAAATTCTTAAGGAAACATATTAAATTACAGAGATTTACTTTAATTTCTGGTATGGGCTGTAGATATTTTTGTGCACGTGTATAAAGTGAGTCTGAAATGTCCTCGTGAGACTGTATGACACTAACGATGACCTGTCAAAAATTTAAATGCATGCTTTGACATCAGATAAGACAAAATCACAAGTTTTTCTTATTAAAAATAAGATGGTGGGGATTTGTTTTCATTTTATTCAACAATATATATTTGTATTATTAGCTCAACACTTTGTGTTAATGTAAAATCTGCTAGAAGACCCTTTGTATGTCTATTGCTTTGATGTCCATGTTTAACATTAATGATTTTCCATAAATTTCATAGATCATAGAAGACTTCATCTTCTAATTCTGAACAATTTAGTGATGAAGCATCAGTCACTTTTTCCCCCTGCAACATTTTCTAGTAATCAGGGGTAACTGAATACTACCAGGGTCCCTCTGCTCCAGCTGATTCCCAGCACCCACTGGTCCTTTGATGGACAGCCAAGTGTGCAAACCTGACCATGCCATCAAGCCATGGTGCATTTCATAGATTTAACCCAAACATGGTCTGCACTGTGTCTGGAACGTAAGTGAAGAAGGTTGGATAAGGTTGTTTAAAACCCTGTAGTACCAAATGTGAACGTTAGATGTTAGAGCAGCTCCACCGCAGAGTGCCGTTTTTATCACAGTTCCCTACAGAGTGTGCTACGAGTGAGAATGAGCATAAGTTAAATGGTGGGACTGTGCCAAGGCTTCTTATTACTGCAGGGTTGGCACCTCCTGCCAGACGCATGCACAGATACACACACCGTGGAGACTAGTCAGCACACATGATAATTTCTGAATACATACGCAGTGGGATTAATTTGTGCTTTTTGCACACTAGCCCTAAAACAGCCTCACAAACGTCTAGTCACACAGGCACAGAAACATGTTCATGGTGGTAAGAAAAAGGAAGGCTAGACTTCGTCAAGCCATTTATTCTTCATTCTCTTCTTCTTTTCCTCTTTTCATAGCGCCTTCCTTCCTTCCTTCCCAGTGCACCTCCTCCTTTCTTCTTGCCTCTTTCATCCCTTTGATAGAAGGGCTACATTTGTGGAAATGGAGAGGATTTGGAAATGTGTGTGATTACATGATCCAGAATGGGGTGGCCAAAGGGAGGGAGGGAGGAAGTCAGCAAAGACACATGAAAGAAAAGATGAAAAGTGACCTTGTTGACCCTTGGATCTATGGACAAAGCAAGGGCGGTAGAGACGGCAAAATAAAAGTGCAGGCACAGTGAGAGGCAGGAAGTTAATCCCCTCCAGGTGTTGTGCCAATGCTGACAGGGGGTACCAGATTACCCCACTGGCACACCATGCTCCCCCTCATGCCTCAATGGGGAAGGCCTTTTACGAGGCTGTCTGAATGGTGAGGGGAGGGAGGGCTGCAGGTGGCAGCCGACTCACTAAAGACAAAATCTACACACATGCACAAATGGGTACAATGGAGACTAATCCTGAAATATTGATGTCAATGGTAGTTTCTCATAGAAACAGACACAAGGGTATGTGTTTGTTTTTTTTTACAACCCACACAACCCTGCTGCTGTCCAAGAGCGTTGATGTCAAAATAGGATATCCAATCCTAGTTTCTTCTCTCCCCCTACCATCATTATTGTTATTATGTATGCGTATTAGTCATTCGCACGGGATCACTCACACTGTTGGCCCAGGTCAACAGACTCACTCACACACACACCATTTTGCCACACCAGTGGAGCATAGAAACCAGGCGGCGAAGGAGAGGGAGATGTATTCATCCACCTTCTATTGTGCACGGATCGAGTGTTAGTCCAGTGAATAGGCGAGGGAGCGCTTGATAATGAGGCCAGTGTTATTACACAGCCGCTGCAGCCCCTAACAACATCAATCCACCGGGATCAAATAAAGGCTTTTAATTGCTTTGCCTCGTATTAAAATCCCCGCCGCTGCAGACGAGCTGCCCTTGGCGTGCCTGAGCATAAAAGCCAGGCGAAAGATTGCCTGAAAGGCCATCGTACAGTGCGCAGCGCAGCTCTCCGAGTTCACGTCTTTAAAGTCGTGTTTGTGTAGTGAAAGCCTATTCATTAGCAGCTGCCATCATTTTTAGCAGAATGTTTGACAATGATGTTGAATATTTATGATGTAATAAGAGTATGGGGATCAAATGTTCATTATGTACTCTTATTTGCAGGACTGAGTCTGTAGCAGAGAAAATGCTGACCAACTGGTTTACGTTCCTCCTCTACAAGTTTTTAAAGGTACAGTAACTTTTTAGTCCTCAAGTCTTGAAACTGCGGGCTAGGGGTGTAACGATACGCTAAAATCACATTTCAGTTCGGTTCAGTTTCAGGGAGGGCTCGGTTCGGTTAATTTTCGGTACAAAAAAAGGCCAAAATGAAGACTTAAAAAAAAATGTATTTTGAAAATATGCCAAGTAAACAATACGTTTTTATAAAAATAAATAAAAGCGACCCATCTGGATGATATTTAAAATTAACGTCACTCTTTACAGTAAATAAACTATACTAACAATAATAAAAATCTTAATAAATACAATAACAGAACCAGAACAATAAGCAACAATAGACCGTTTACAATCTAACTAATCAAGTTTTTGGCCAAAAACACCAACTTGTGCCCATTTTCTGCCAAAATCATAGATCTAGTTGCAGTGACATTATCTCCAGCGGTGGAGAAAACAGCTCACTAACAACAGTAGCAAGAATAAAGAGGAAGAGCTTTGCTAATTTTGCAGTGTGGCTGTATTTGGTCTCATTGCTCACAACCTCTTGGACCTGCTCCCACCTGTCCCTGGAAAAGTTCAGAGTTCACTCATCACAGACTTCTTAACTGGAGGTGATCTCTGGTGGATTTCCCTGAAGAGGAAGAAGACTCAGCTGCTATCTCTGTCCCAGACTGGAAATAAAACACAAAGAGGTAAAAAAAAAAATAGTTAATAAGATTATAATTTCAAATTAAGTTCATTAGAAAATAACAATACCTCTTCTTGAACGGTCATCATTTGTTATGAGGTGATTGAATCTCTCGTGTATCATCATCAGGACAGGACTTTAATCTGGTCCAGGGCTTGTTGACAGTATCAGTTTTAGCTTTTTCATAAAGTGCTGATATAACTTTTTGGCTGAAGTGTTGATGTGATGGATGTCGTAGCGGGGCTCAATAATGTTAAAGCTGCCGCATCAACAACAGAAACGTAGATCCAGAGCTTTAAAACTTCCTACAGCTTGTGTTATTGCTCTGGACCGATCTGAATTACCTGATAATGGTTGTTTAAATGCTGTTATTATCGGTGTTTACAACAAGCTACGTTCACATTCGGATGATGTCGTTTCACGTTGTTAACAAGTTAGACGTGTTGCTGCTGCAGATCTAATCTCCGTGAGACACACAGCTTTGGATTTGTTCACTTGTGTTTAAACAAGAAAGCCATAATGTTGCCAAACAGGAGACCACAACGACATGCTAGAATGCTAATGCTACGCGTGCTGAGAGACTATAGCGCCGTGCTGAAACACGCTTAGGAACTTTAGTTCCGCGGCGCATAATCTATTGTTAATAAAATTTAATGAGTGAAAAAATAACCAAAACGGTACGCACGTGGACCGAACTGAACATGCCGTACCAAAACAGTTCAATGCACCCACGTGTACCGTTACACCCCTACTGCTGGCTTATTATCTGCTACAATAACCTCAAACATCCTACAAATGGATGACATTTTAATACTAACAAAATGTTTTCATTGATGAGTATTTCCATCTATAAAAAGTTGTTTTTAACTGTATCAATCAAATACAAGCTTCTTTACTATGAACAAGATCTGAAGAGCACTGTTTGTATCAAACCCTTCACTCTTGTGTTTCATGAAGCGACAGAAAATAAAAGGGTTTTCTTTTCATTCATCCCTCTCCACTCATCCCTTCAATGCAGCTGAGGGGAGAAAAATAAAAACAATGATAAATGGCCAGTTGGTTCAGTGTTTTGAGACAGAAGATTTAGTGCCTTCAAGAGTCTTTTATAGCATTTTTCAATGTTTATCCATAAAACCTTTCTTGATGTGTAGTCTCAATCCAGCAAAGTTTGTTTGTTGTATATCAAAGGCTAGTATAGCTTTCTAAAAAGTGACTGCAATATTTAAGGTGCTTCTTTAAGCATTATTAAAAATGTATTTTCCAAACTTTCTTGTGTATCCTAATGTCTTTGTAGGAATGTGCAGGCGAGCCTCTCTTCTCCCTCTTCTGTGCCATCAAGCAGCAGATGGAAAAAGGCCCCATTGACTCTATCACAGGAGAGGCCCGCTACTCGCTCAGCGAAGACAAGCTCATTCGACAACAGATTGACTACAAGACGTTGGTAAGGGGTTCACCGGCCCTGGGGTGCTGGGGCTAAAGAGAGATGCTTAATATGCTTTCAGGGACAAGAAGAGAGAGAATGGGGTGGTCATGGGTGGTCGATCATGAGATGTGCAAAGGGATACTAAGGTTCTTGTTGTCATGGCTGACATGCAGGGGGGCACAGGAGGGGTGACCTCACTTCCTTTTGAGGCTAGAGCTGTCAATGAAAAAAAACAGGGCTTCTGTGTGTGCACAAACTGAGAAACCATGAAGCTTTCTCCATCTGCAGCCCCTTATTCATTACCCAGATCTGCCTGTTAGCCTACTCTACTGTGACACCATTGTTTTAGCAGGGGAATCTTCTTTTTTTTAAGTTTTTTCTAGTGTCAGATCTGGTTGTGCAAAGCTCTCCAAAAATACTGAGTATAGATGATGAAATACAGTACTGTGTAAATGTTTCAGGCAGGTGTAAAAACAGTGTTTTTATTTCTTTATTTACAAAATGTAAAAGCAAGCAGCAGAAAAATCTAAATTGCTTTTTTTTTTTGTTTTTTCATGAGATGATTCAGTTTAAAACTGCAGAATGTAAAGTTCCACGCAGGAAACTGCATGATTTACTCCATTTGTACAAACTAAATTCACATGCAGATTAATTGCGTACCCCTCCCACAGGAGAGTTGTCGGGGACTTGGTTTAACAGACTCACAACAGAGCTGCTTTGGTCATATATGCATGAAAGTGTTCATTAGTGGGGAAATGACTGGGTTTCAGGCTTAATGCGCAATCGCACGTTTTAGATCTAGTGGTTATTAAAGGAACTTTAGTGCATCAAATGTATTGTTTGCTTGGCCTCAGTGTCCAGCAGAGCCATCAGCTCAGAGCTGGCTGACACCTCTAGGTTGTTGGTAAATCAATTCTTCTGCTGTTTAGAGAAGTCTGGCCAGAAGTAGTCTTTATGGAAGAATAAAAAGAAAGTTGGACCCAATCATTTACAGAAGGCAGTTGTCTTTGGTGATGATTTATTAAAACAAGAAGATGAGCAATTGCAGGCTTCACACTCTTTATAGTACAGGAGTCTGTGAAGTTGCAGCATAAGTGTCACACAAAACAAGACTTTTAGAGGCTCCTGATTTGTGCATATTAGGACCCATGAGCCCATCAGCTTCCAGGAAACTCTTGGGGTCGGAGCATGCATTCATCCCAGAGCCAAGGACTCAAGCCAGCTCTATTACCCAGAATGGAAGTCATAACAATAAGTTAACAAAACCTTCTCTGCAAGAAATCATAACACCTTTGGGTTCACAAATATGAAATGTTCATTACAAGCACTCATATGCACAATGCAATTCTTCATCTACAAATTACATCAAAACTGACATGGCCAAAGGACTCCACTGTGAACAAAAAATGTGCAGAAAGATGCCAGTAGATGCTCTAAATTGAGTCAAAATCTCGTTTCTCTTTCAAAAAGCTTTGTCTTGAAAACTAAAAACATTTTAAATGAGAGCTGAAGCATCTTCGAGAAACAAGAAACATTTGCCTTCTAGTAAAACTCTTAGGATCAAATGTGCTGACCTGCTAGAAGACAAAATGCTAAAAACACACCCTCTCTCATTTGAACCAAATAAACTTGGACAAAACATATTTTTAGACCTCAAAATTGTAACAAGTTTGACCAGTACAACTTGCTTCTCAAGTGTCACCCATGTACATGCTTCTGTCCCAGGTGGTGAACTGTGTGCACCCAGAGAATGAGAAAAGCCCAGAGATCCAGGTTAAAGTGCTGAACTGCGACACAATCAGCCAAGTGAAGGAGAAAATACTAGATGCCATCTACAAGAACGTCCCATATTCACACCGTCTAAAGGCATCTGATATGGACTTGGGTAAGAATCTTTACTTTCATACCGGTATATAAAAATACAACAGCTTTGTGTTTGCATGTTTATAAGCTGCTCTATGAAGTCATCATCTATGGTTTTAGCACTACTGCAGTATGTGTAATATACAATAATGAAGTCCCTTAGTTGATCAGTTATTGAACACTGTTTAGCTGATCAGAACAACTACACGCATGCAGTCTTTCCTGTTCATGTTTCCTTAAAGATTTAACATCCATTGATTTTTAGAAAGGCTTTCCCACTCCAAGCAGCCCTTCTTAAAAGTACAAATCCTCTTAGATATAGAGAAGTATCTTTCTTTTCAACCTCAAGAGGGTTGACTTCCTGGCTCAGTTGGCTTAAACGTCTGAGACGGTTCTCTCGGCAGCCCAAAACTTTCCATCGATCTGCTCTTTTGTCGACGGCTGTCTGAGTCAGATGATTGATCGGCTAATCAATCGAGACGCTCGGTGATTTCTCCCCTACAAAGCCTTTCTTTCTTTCCTGTAGCTGTAATGTGAAGTTATCTTACTGGACTGGAAACAACATAGGATTGTTCAGTTTAAGTATTTTACCTGTCCATTGTTAGTGGAAATGTATAATATATATCAGCAACACATCTAGAGGATGTGAGCATAACATTGTTATACAGTCATACCTACAGGCCATCTCCTCACAGTGAATTGGCTTCTTTATGGTTTAATATTGCCACATGGATTTTTTTTTTCCAATCCTTGTTGTGTGTTTTTGTAGCATGTCTTTAACCAACTCCAAATCTAAGACGGGCTGAGTGCGTACCGTGGGGAATTGGTCTGTGAGATAGCTACATAAAAAGATTGGTTTAGCCTTTTGACAACACTCCTGGATAAAATTGTTTTACGGGCCCCTCTGGGCACCGTGTGCTGTTCTGGTATTGTTTTAATACCAATGGGGTTTGAACATTGGAGTTAGCTGGCCACCCTTTCCAGCGTCTGATTACGTGCAGTAAAGAGGAAGAATGAGTGAAGGCAAGCTCATAAGTGAACATGTGTATACAATAAAATACACAATAAATGTTACACGTAAATGTTTTTACAGTTTTGATTAAAAGAGAAGTATTCTCTGTAAACATGTAGCACCAGTAGGTCTTGGGATTTCTGGCACATGCTCACACACATACACAGACTGATTGCAGGGGCTGATACAGGTAATGGGATTTGTGGCAGGCCTGTCTTGAGACAAATTGGCCAGGGGGATTGTTATCCCCAGTATAGTTTTTAATTCCACATCTTAATTCTCCTCAGGGCATCAGTGAAGTTGGGGCCTAAGACCAAAAAGGCGATGCCATATTTGTGTCTTTATGTCCATGTTGCTCTTTGCAAACAAGTTGTGCATTCATGTTAAATAAATCAGCCTCCTTCAGCCTTCTTTTTTTACAATTGCATCAAAGTCCTTATGTCCTTGGCTTTGTTTGACTTCATAAAGCCAGTTTGCACAGCCATACACAGTCTTCTCTTCTGATTAAATTTATTAGAAATCACCAGGATCTGGAAACAAAGATGATCTCAGTTTACTTTGGCTTTACCACAAGTTTATTGTTTTATTAAATTTGTCCTGCCTGTCTTTTTGCCCTGCATCTCTTTATATGTTTACTGAGCCTTGACTAGAGAGCAGGGCTCATTTGCATCTTTATAGGAAGATGCACTGCATACACAGAAACAACAGGAGAATCTTTATTTCCTGCAGATTTTTCAGATTTGAACACAATTGCGGTGGATCCTCCAAAGACAGGCCTCATCATGCAGCACAGTGATTGCTGCTTTGTTTTTCTGTTTGTGATCAGAATAGGAGATGACTGTGGTCGACACCAGTGGGAAGCTCAGCAAGACGCAGACACAGTAAAATATTCAGAAACCCACGATTTCTAAAATAAAAAGAATAAAAATGGAGTCGTCTTCCCGTTTGTTTTCAAGATGGCTTTTCTTTTGCCCCTTATGGTAATGTCACTGGAGTATTGAGATGTTTCCATCAAAGCTGTTATTTGTTTTCTGCTGAGGTTATACAGATGGAAGTTTTTGCTGCACACATAAACTGATTGTTAGTGTCAGTCTAGGAAACTTCCCTTATGTTGTTTGAAAAGACAAGGTCACGTTAACAATAGTTGAAGGGTGTAGAAATTAGAAGATTGTTGCACTTTAGCAGAACACTGTTGCACCCTTTTAGTTTTGTTTTATACTGTTGTGACACAAAAACCTGCTTCTATTAAAATTCCTTACACAATTGTAAGAGCTGTAAAGGCACAAAGCTTGAAGCTGTACGTAAAGGTTTGACCAACAGTAGCTCCAAAAAGTCGAACATAAAGGCTGGTGCTGCAGATGGAACAGGAAGTGTAAAAGCTGTGGGCATGCTGCTGTAATCACACTTATTGATTGCACCACGAGTTTTGTTCTAAGAAGAATGGAGCTTGTGATTAATTTAGCCCATTTCGTATGTGAGTGTGTTTTAACTCTACATCTTCCTCTTTTACAAAAACACGAGGTTTTATGATTTGTCTTCTCCACCTTTTGAATTTTCGGGGTCATTTTATAAGAAATGATGAGAAAATACATGATCTTTTTACCTGCTTCTTCCTTTTCGGGTCACTGGTGCCCATGTCCAGCAGTTACTGTGCGAGAGGCGGGGGACACCCTGGACGGGTCACAGGGCCTTGATGAGAAAATAATTTTTAAAAAGACCAAACATAAACTAAATAGATCAAGAAAATGCTGGACCCAACATTTTATTTTATTTTTTGGCAAACTGATTAGAATAAAGAAAATGCTTTTATTTGATTGGTTAGAACGTTTGTAGATTTTTTTGACTACCAGGTACTAAATAGTTAAAATTATAATAAAGTTTATTTTTATTATTATTTACCTGTGAGAACTTGCTACATGTATGAGTAAAGCATAGGATTATGTTCAAACAGCAGCAAATCAAGTTTCTCAAATCTTTTCAAGATTAGATTCCTTCCACTTTGTACTGATGACTCTGCAAACAGCAACTAGAAACTAAAATATTTGAGTCTGACCATGTTTCTGTGGCATCGGTTTAAATCTTTAGCAAACAGCTCAGCACTGGATTATAAGACCGTGTGCCAAGTTAAAAAAGATGGAGAAATCCAGTCTAGACAATATGTCAAGTCACTTCCAAATATAACTTAGACACCTTTTATTTTTATTTGATTTTATTTGATCAGATTGTTGTAGAAAAACTGATTTACAGTTGGGTATAATTTTCATCTGATCTTTAATTTTCCGTCATATGAGAGAACGGTCAATTTCCCAGAAAGTCAAACTATCAGTTTTAGTCTGCCCATTCTGCTGACATCACTTCTGAGCTGTCGCTACCTTACATCAGTTACAGTTACATCAGTTACAACAGTTACATCTGCATCAGTTACATCAGTTACAACAGTTACATCAGTTACAGTTACATCAGTTACATCAGTTACAGTTACATCAGTTAGTTACATCAGTTACAGTTACATCAGTTACATCAGTTACAGTTGCATCAGTTGTTTAAATACAAACTGAGAGGAAAAAAACAGTTATGTGGAGGATGATAAACATATCTGCCAACCTATGGTACACAGATTGCTCCAACCCACATAGATTGATTGATTGATTGATTGATTGATTGATTGATTGATTGATTGATTGATTTTTATTGTCAATTCTGCATATGTACAGGACATACATAGAAATTGAAATTGCGTTACACTCCTACTCAAATTGCAGCAAACAACAACATTAGCAAAAATAAACTAACACAACTAGTTATATAAAAAAATATAAAAAAAATATAAAAGTGAACAGCAGCAGGACCTCTGATGCAACGTGCTCAATAGTGACTAACAGGAGACAAAGGGACGCTGACTGAAGACAATAACATGATGAGAGGTAGATAATGGATGTGCAAGGCCAGAGTAAACAATAGTGCAATATAAAGTATAAACCTGAGAAACTTAGTAAAGTGAAGGTGTGCATACCGGTTCTATATAGAGTCACAGTTATGTACTGATGAGGTGATTAAGTGGAAATGACAATACCAGAATTACCAGAATAAAGAATAAACAGGACGAGTTGATCATAACAGTAGTGCAAAATATAATGCAATAAACAGTAGAGTGAGCTTGTAGGCTGTTAAAGTGACCGATTCATGAACTATTCATAAAACTAAATAAATGTCCCAGAGCAGTTTTGAAGGGGGGGGGG